TTGAAGGCCTCGTTTGGCATGAATTACATTCAGTTTTATGAATTTTTATCATTCATTGCTGAAAAGCGCTTGAATGCTGTGATACACAATGTGCCTGTAAAAAGTTTTGATAAATGGCACTTGGGCAGAAATCATTGCTTGTTCGACCTTTGGCAAATAAAATATGTTCTCGAAAGTTTGTTGAAAGATACTATTGACAAGGGAATAAATACTTTTCTTTGGAAAGATAATGAAATTCAAGCATTGTTAGATAAAATAAATAAAAAAATTAATGTTATAATGTAATATTAAAAGTACATAAAATATTTATTTTATATATTAAAAATATTTAAACATTATTAATTCTTTAAAATATAAGCTATATCCCTATATAACTAATAGAACTATTTGTTAAATATTAATCGATCAATGGTATTACGTTTAATTTTGAACCGTTGTGCTGGAATAATAACAATTTTGTATATATAATAAGATAGGTGCAATTTATTTTCACAAAATATGAATGAACATTAACAATTATAATCAATGTGGTATAGCATAAAATTCAAATATTAAAGATAATTTTTTACTTTTCTTATATTTTTTATTTAATTTGCAAATAAATTAAAATATTAAAATTATATTTTATTTTAATTTCATTTGTTTAGAATTTTTCTCATTCGGACCTCTAATGCTCTTATTTAATAAAAGTTTATGAGAATTTATGGAAAATCTTCTTCATGTACATTTATGATCCCTATATTTAATTTATATTTCATCATTTAATTATCTAAGCAAAATATTGAGAAATAATAAATCAAAATAAAAGTTAACATTACATTGTCTTGAAGAAAAAATAAAAAAAAATTAAAAAAAAAATTTAAAAAATAATAAACCCCAAATCATCCATTTAATCAAAGTAATTAATTTGATAATAATAATTTTGCCTCTTTTTAATACATGTAAATTAATAGATTAAAATGAAAGAATAGTTGGAAACAATATTCCAATAAGATATATAAAATTGAAAAAGAAATAAAAAGAATGAATATGTAGCAAGAATATGAAACACGTGATGTCAGTACGGTATATATTTGTTTTATATTTACACTATATATTTTTATTTTTTTTTTTATATTTACAACATATCACCCTAATAAAAATGTACAAAATCTATAAGAAATCTTATAGATCATAAATTTGCACTCTTATAAGTTGTATAATAGCTTCTCTATTTTTTCATGATATATAATACCTACAATTAAAGTAAAGTAAATGGCTGTAGCAAAAGAATTATTTTAAAAGCAGGCGTACTTTACGTATATGCATGTATAAAGTAAACATGAATTCTAAAAACTAATAAATGAATCGAAGCCTGTCTCGATTAATGCTGCTCTATTTACAGGTATGCTATTTTGAAACTTGCTATATAATAATTTTGTGCTGAGGAGAATATAATATTCCACATTGATCACTATGATATGCGCTTTTACATTTTGCACGAAAATAAATCATTATTTATTCCTGTGAATAACACTTTTAAGTGAATGCACTTGACTCATAGTCGTAATATATATATATATATATATGTGTGTGTGTGTGTGTGCGCGCGCGCGCGCGCGCGCGTGTGTGTCTGTGTCTGTGTGTGAGCGTGTAAATTTTCTTTTTAATCGTAAAGTAATATCATTACACGACAAATTTTGCATTAAGTAAGCGACGTAGTAAGCAAAGTGCACTCACCGCTCTTAAAATCAAAGGTTGAGAGCATAGAGAAATATATTTCAGCCATTCCTTAAAATTCGAAACAATAGTTTTTACATATTAAGCTTCGGACGACAGCTTATAATTTCATTTTTTTTATCTGTTTTTTTTTGTTTTTTTTTTTTGTTTTTAATATTCGTCAAAGATAATTTAATCTTTGTATGAATTTTGTAACGAAGAAAAAACTTAATTATTTTTTATATTAAACTTTGAAGTATAATTCATAAACGATTCATTCGGGAAGTGACTCGATGCTATTGTCTAGTCAAAATTATTGAATAATCTTTATTTATTCCCTCCTCCTTTAGAAGCTCGCTAATTTTTAAGAGTAAAATTTTTTATAAAAACATAAAGAAGAAGAAGAAGAAGAAGAAGAAGAAGTCGAAACTTGACAAATGAACTTTGAAAATTAACGATTATGAAAATCCAAAGTTAGTTTAAATTAACGGCACCTCCAAACGTTCAAAGTCACTTCCAATCTCTCCCCCAATAATCCACGACACTCTCAAGAAAATTTCTATAAAAATTAATGGCCCTTGCGCTCAAGGGGCTGAAATCCACATTGACTGCTCATGGTACGATTGCCAGTCTAAAGCCGCGACGATGGCCTATGGTCATGATCCTGGTCGTAGTCATGGTCATGGTCATGGTAGTTGTCGTAGTCGTAGTCGTAGTCATCGTTGTCATCGTCGTCATCGTCGTCATCGTCGTCATCGTCCTCATCGTTTTCGTAGTGGGCAGGATCCGAAATAGGCGATCGGTCTCAATTTGACGGCGCCTCTTCTCAAATGGTATGCGAGCTGATGATCGTTGGCGGTGCGGCCATGGTCGTGTTGGGTGTCGCCGTGATCGGAACCGGCGTGAGAAGGACCGGAGACGCGGTCGGGGTCATCGGCATCGGCATCGGCATCGGCATCGGCATCGGCATCGGCATCGGCATCGGCACCGGCACCGGCACCGGTGCCGGCGTTTGCGAAGCCACGGGTGTCTGCCGCGGGGGCGACAGTAGCTCCTGCCGATCGCGCTCCCGCTCACGTCCCGGTCTCCAGGCCTCCAGCAGCGCCTCCACGCGCTCCTCCGTCGGACCCCAACGCGCGTGACCGGCGGCATTCTGCAACCAGACGACGAGGGTCCCGTGGATCGCCCTGATGTTCACCTCGCCCCTGAAAATATTAGCGTTTTAATCAAGTCGTGAGCGAACATCCGCCTGGCTGGCTTCGTTATCACGAGCTCCGTCGCCTCGAGAGCTTCTTCGGCGTCGGTGAGAAGCTGCTGCTCGTCCCGGCGATACACGCTACGTTAACGCAACACGAGATAAGTTATGACGATGATTCATACATTAAAACGAGAAGCAGCTGTAATCGACTGGAAAGTGAAAGTCGAAGAACGCGTTGGCTTGAAATAGTCCTATTTTTCGACTCTGACGACAGAGATGCCAAGAGACAAGGATATCTGTTAGGATCGATGTGTGCGCGAGAAGGAGATTGGCCAACGAATCAATCCGTGTATAAATTCGCGGCGAACACGGGGTTGTGATGCGCGCGGGGTGGGGTGGGGGGGGGGGCGGGAGGGGCTCCGGGGGGGGGGGGCTGGAGGGACTACGTACTTTGGGAGGATGTGCTGAAAGCCGTGCCTGTACTCGTGCTCCATGGCCGGTACGACGACCTGTTTCCTCTTGAAATGGCTACCCTCGAGCTTTATGAGGGCATTGGGCGCGGGATCCCGCCACTCGGGCAGGAAGACGACGAAGGATAGTGGCTCGGCCGAGTCGGAGAGCAGACGCTCAAAGTGATTGACCATTGCCTCCATTAGCTCCTCGCAGTAGGGCGGATTCGCCTGAAAGCTGCCGCTTATGGGCCTGAAGTCGAGGAAGGGCCCCCGCGAGCCGAAGTACGCGTCCGTGTCGGCGAAGGCCGAGCAATACTGACGGAAGTAGCAGTTCAAGGGCGAGCCGAAGCACTCGAAGCTGACGCCGAAGGATCTCTGAAGGCACTCGAAGACGGTGACGGGCAACGCCATTTGCGTCGCCTGGCTCTCCGTGCTGCCCAGGTACGTCTGGTAGCGCTTGAGCATGCACCAGACCCGCGGCAGGAACATCTCGAATTTCCGGTCGTCGAAGCAATTGTATCTGTACAGGTGCTCCAGCTTCGTCAGATGCGTATTGTTAATGCACATCGCGTCATTGTGAAAGCGCAGCATCGTCTGCTCCCGCTCGGGTAGGTACTCGATCTGTAACCCAGGGTTGACGTTCATAGAGCTACTACTTCATGCATCATTATGCAGTATGTATTACAGTATACACATCATAATATCGCATCGAGCTCGCGTTTACTTTAAAAATCTGAAGTTACGCGGCACTTTTACTCGCGTTATTAAATGCCTAGAGAAGTTAGGGAATTGGGCTCATGGGAATGCGGATAACGACGGCCACCGTCGTAATGGCCACCGTAATGATAATGGTCGTCGGGATCTAGTGATCGAGTAAAAGTATTTGGCAATTACCTGTGGAAGTCGCAGTGTGGGGAGCGAAAATTGCACTGGGTAGCACCACACTTTTCGCTGTGTACTTGCAGGTCCACTCACGGGTATGGCATCGCCCAAATTACTCTCTTTAAGTAATTGGGCATTTTTGTCCTTAACTTTCTTAGCATACTCCGATGATAAGTGGTATATCTTTAAACAAATACCCTCGACGCTGGCTTTTACCGTTTCCGTTAAGTGAGGCTGACACTGACGTTTTAAATGTGCGAGTCTGTCTTGAAAATCGTCGAATGTCGCACCCACTGTTCGTCTTAACCACTGAAATGTATCCTCGGCGTTCCATTTAACAACCTTTCTACTTTCCGGTGACGCTTCTCTCGATTCGATCACTTTTTTCGCAGCTTCGGCATAGCGGGACAACTGCTTTCTCGCATCACCCGTAAATTTCGGTCTTACTAGCTTAATGGGTATGTCGTTCATGATTTCGCGATACATTGACATAGAAATTTCGGGGAAGCATTGACTCGGCAGCAGTGGATCCGATCCGCAGTCAATCACCTTTCGCTCCATCAACCAACGGTTAAAGGAGTCCTTGGGTGCGTCTATCGACTCCCGCGTGTGACACAGCTCTTGATAACATTGGCGTAATTTTGCAAGTAAACCGCATCGTAGAGCCTCAACCTCTGGATGAACGTGTAAAAGATTTGTCGGAGCTCGTTCATAAATAATAACGTTTGTTGGGACATCCAAGTCCCATGGTCCCCTGCAATGCACATGGAAGTAACGTTAAGGTTATATCGATTATCGGTAAAGCTATTATGAGGACCTTTAATAATCAAACGTACGCCAAAATGAATTTTTTTGGTGCTGGTAACGCAGTTCCATCTTCGGATGCTCTACGCTTAAGTGGACCTCCCGGAGTACCGGGAGGTATTTGCCCATTACCAGGTACGGATGCTAAGCCAATTCCCAATGGATCCGTAATAGGATCAAACTTGAAAGATAAATAGACAGTTATAATATATAAAGTTATTATATATAATATATATATATATATATATATATATATATATAGGGAGCGTTAATGCGAGCTGTCACGAACGAACGATAAGCCGTGGCTAGGTCGCTGTAATATATCGAGCGATACTCACTTGAGGTTTTAACGATGGCATAACCCACAAAGATTCTCCCGTTAATTTATTCCAAAAATAAGGTCTATTCTCTCTTTTACTCCAAAACTTTTTCCACCCTTGCTGCTGCAACTCTATCGATAGCTCAGGCTCTGTAAAACTTGGCGCTGCAGCCACCTACCATAAAGACAAACGTTATTTTACATCGGGAATGGGATAAGTAAAATTTGCCTGCCTGTAACGTTGAAGCTCGCTATACCTGGACCACCAGAGGCGATTGTTGCACATGGCCAAGGATGCCGCAATGATCGCCGGCTATAGGCGGAGGTGGCAATATTGGCGCTTGCAGCTTGACGGGCGTAGGAACTATAACTTGCGTAACCGGTGAACTGGTTTCTTGCGCTAAAGCCGGATTTAAATGGTGCATCGACGGTATGGTAGTCACTGGCTGGTTCATCATAGCGTCCCACGCAGATGTACTGGCCATGTCTTGCTTTCCGCCGCTCACCTCGTTCATTATCAAGCATCAATTTGTACTCCTTGCTAAGAAAATAAAGCAAACCTCATGTAATGCGAGCATGATTTAGGCGATTAACACGACGACCTACTCCGACGCATCTGCATTAGTAACTTAAGCTTGCTTAAGTAACGGCCTTGCTATATATAATCCCAGTGGCCGCTCATCCTTGCAAATGTACATGTTCTAACGATACACATTAGCTTTTCTCACCTTTACACGACAATTGCCCCATTGGATTTTTGGCAATTAACAGGTCGAGCAAGCTTTCGAGAATGAGAAAAGAAAAAAAGAGGCACCAACTGTTTGTAAACACGCAGACTACGCCGATTTTTGCCGCAAAATGCATTTCCCATCCATCCAATACAAACTTCACAAATTCCTGTTTGTTTACATACGAAGCGCGCGTCAATGGAATGTATTGATTGCGCGGTTAATCGAGCATCGGCGAGCCGGAAAATTATCGAGCTGCGAAGCCCGTACTTACCCCAATCAATACGTCACTCGTTTTCTCGAAAAATCATAATGAAACTCAGAATTCATTCATGATTTCCGTAATCTGACCAAACGAACTCCACCTCCGAGACGCCATTTCCTTGCAACTGATGCTATATGTGAAAAAACAATCGTATAGAAGGCGAACGTCGGCTCAGATATAGAGAGCTGACATGGTGGCGCTGCGATCGGCAGCTTTTTTCACCATCGGTTACCTACTGCGAGGAGGAGATCGCGGCGATCGGCCGCCGAGACCGCTGTCACAGTTGTTGAGGATAGGAGTGGGAAGGAAAATTGGTGACGGCAATGCTGACGCCGGTTGCGACGGCGATTACCGCGGCTATTACGACGACGTTGGCGGTGGCGATGGTGGCGGCGGTGGCGGTGGCGGCGGTGGTGGCGGTGGCGGTGGTGGTGGTGGCGGTGGCGGTGGCGGTGGCGGTGGTGGCGGTGGTTCCCTTATCGGTTATCGATTGGCTCACCTGCTCCGAGCGCCAAAACTCACTGGCTTCAAACGCGACTGAGGCTTATTTTTTTCCACGATCGCTGTTACGCACACCGCGACCTTACTTACGTCTTTCTATCACTTGCTCACGCATCCATGTTCAAAGTCATTTCTCTCTAGCGCGCTAATGCTCTTGATGTTGAGAGCGTTACAATGGCAATCAACACCTTGCAAACGCTCGTGCATTAATTGACTTTGCGCTAAACTTTCTTATACATAATTTAATTGCCCGAGCGATTAAATTGACCTCTCGTTAGGTATGACTTACTTTATCAGTCCTAAAAATAACGTCTTTTAGGCGATACTTTTTCAAACGAGCCTCATGTTTAACCAAGCTTTCTAATTTCCGTACAATAAGACTGGGCAATGATTATTTTAACTTATCGATTAAAATCGCACGAGCATATTATTGAAATTATTAATTTTATCATTATGATTATTTAGGGTTACTCGTTATTATTGTCATCGTTATTGTTACTACGAAAAAAGAAATACATACACACTGTACATATAATCGTAATAATAATAATAACAACAACAACAAGAACAACAACAACAAGAACAAGAACAACAACAACAACAAGAACAACAACAACAACAACAACAACAACAACAACAACAACAACAACAACAACAACAACAACAACAACAACAACAACAACAACAACAACAACAACAACAACAACAACAACAACAACAACAACAACAACAACAACAACAACAACAACAACAACAACAACAACAACAACAACAACAACAACAACAACAACAACAACAACAACAACAACAACAACAACAACAACAACAACAACAACAACAACAACAACAACAACAACAACAACAACAACAACAACAACAACAACAACAACAACAACAACAACAACAACAACAACAACAACAACAACAACAACAACAACAACAACAACAACAACAACAACAACAACAACAACAACAACAACAACAACAACAACAACAACAACAACAACAACAACAACAACAACAACAACAACAACAACAACAACAACAACAACAACAACAACAACAACAACAACAACAACAACAACAACAACAACAACAACAACAACAACAACAACAACAACAACAACAACAACAACAACAACAACAACAACAACAACAACAACAACAACAACAACAACAACAACAACAACAACAACAACAACAACAACAACAACAACAACAACAACAACAACAACAACAACAACAACAACAACAACAACAACAACAACAACAACAACAACAACAATAATAATAATAATAATAACCATCATCATCATCATCATCATCGTCGTCGTCCTCGTCGTCATCATCATCATCATCATCGTCATCGTCATCATCGTCATCATCGTCATCATCGTCATCATTATTATTATTGTTATTATTGTGTAAGCGTTTCTTATGTCAAAGTCGAGAAAAGTGTGAAAAATCCTAATTTATGTGAGAATCTTAAAACACATGTTACGTTATCACACATAGATTTTTAAATAGCGGCTCTCTCTCTCTCTCTCTCTCTCTGTCCTTGTGTGCGTGCGTGCGTGCGTGCGTACGTGCGTGCACTTGAAACATTCGTAATTTGTTTACTCTGATTAATGTTTGGAAATTCACAGTGACTACTTTAATATTAAATTTACTTTGCGAAAATTATGCAATTTTATCACGATATAAAATCGAATCTTGTGACGTTGTAAATGTCGCTTTTGATGTGTAATGTTGTACATGTGTGTATTTTGAAATTCAAGGTCACTTGCACGAAGAATTGAATCTTGGAATATATTTGAAGGATTCGTTACGTCCATGTATTTTTCATTTTAATGGCTACAATACAAAACGGAATAAAATGGCAGATTTTTTAACTTGTATATAAGCCAAACATTTTTTTTATCTCTTTTTGCAAATAAAAATTTATATTAAAACTATAAACAACTCATATTTCATATTATTCATTTCATGATTTTGCTTGTTCCATGAATTTTAGTGTAAGTAAAACGAATAAATTCGTACTTAAAAATCTCGCAATACAGTAATAATTTTCAATATCTATTATGGAAAGTTAATTTTTTTTTTTTTTTTTTTTTTTTTTTTTTTTTTTTTTTTTTTTTTTTTTTTTTTTATTATTTATTTTCTCTTTTTCATTTCTATATACAAGTATTTTTTGTGTCTCGTAGTCCTGGCAAAGTTTTATTTAAATTAATAACCGCTTATAAATAAATTCCATATTTTCCATATTTATAGCTTTCAAGTAAAATCGATAAATTTAACATTTTTAAAATTTAATATTTAATTGAAAAGTCTAATTTAATTTGATATTTTAAATAATCGTATAAGGAGAATAATGTAAGTGAGTGGAATTAAAATAATAAAACGTTACTATTATATGATAAGAAAACCGAATGGAGAGTGAAATTAAAATTACGCAAGTTTCTATCAAATGCATTTCAACTCACTTGAACGGAACATCTCGCTGTACATTTTCATCTCTAATTTTCTTCTGCATAAAACAAGTTATCGGTCGAAAAAAAATTTTGCCGAATTCTTATTTATGCGATATTGGCGATTACAAATGTTTAAAAATTGCTTGACATTTTTCAATGTTATAATTAAAAACAAACAAACAAACAAACAAACACGGTTAACTTATTATGCACATTCTTATGAAAATAATCCATATTTGAAATTTTATATATATATATATATATATATATATATATATATTGAAGTTTTAATTTACTTTTGATAATTCATTTTAACATTCAATTATACCATAATAACTATTACTTTTACAGATAAGCACAACTGAGTCGAGGATAGTGCGTAATGAGAAACGAGAAAAATGAACCATAGATTGTAATTAAAAATCATATCATTTAATTAACTTACTTGCAATTGTAGCGTTTCTCAAAATTTTATTATAATCGATATAATAAACATAATATACAAACAACAACTTCGTTAAAAAGAATATTTCTTTTTTTTTTTTGTTTCTTTTTTTTTCTCTCTTTTTTTTTTTTTTTTTTTATTCCGTTGATATCCAATGCACGTGCTTTTATTCACTTAAATTCATTTTATTCTCATTGCGTTAAATATTTCGTTATTAGCATAGCGCCGTGTATGTCTCAACGAGATAACGAAAAAATCGCAAATGAAATTACATTTTCGTTATTGGCGCGCATCTTACGACGACACATTCCATAGATATCCGTGCTCCGAATAATCATAAGAGGACATCCCCAAGAGCAAAGTGACATTCGATTTACAGATAAACGTAGTAATAGAACATTGCAAATACAAAAATAGAGGGTAGCCGATTACGAAAGAGTGATCGATGAGGGATTAAAGCTTACAATCCCGTAATAACCATGACGTCAATCAACCTCGAAAATAGTGTTGAGGTATATCGTCGGGCGTTATAGGCAGTATTATTACGGTAGTAGTAAGTTAATTAAAAAGTAGGTCGGTGCAATGATGATTCGAGATGTTGCCAAAACGATGCGTGAAATATGAAGGAAACGATTTTTAGAAGAAATTAATTTTATTGTCTACTTAGCATCATCGATTAATGAACAATTCACAGCTAAATTTCATAGTGAACGCTAGTACGCGCGAGATAAATTTCGTAAAGAGAGTTAGATTAGGATTAACTTACGCTGATAAGATTTATCAGAAAACAATGGCATATGTGCAAATATCTATTTTCTTATAATATTATTACAATATCAATTGTAAGAATATGAAGAGTCTTGGGGATTGATTGAATACTATTGTCAGCTAAATATAATAAGTGTATTAGTAAAGGAAGTGCAGCTTCGGCCAACATTTTAACGAAAACAAGAAAGCTTGGTAGGAGAGCAGAAAATGTTCAATCTAACATACTCTACCGATAATAATAATGCACATAATAATTGTTATGAGAACTTATGGAAGGGAAACAGGTTTGATTGTATTATTAGTCTCTGTGGGATTTTTTGCGAACTATAAATCTCATTGGAAAGAAAAATCCTGATTTCAGTTGCCAAACGAACTACAAGGAGCGTCGAAATCTAAAGGAACTGCACGTGAATGTTATAAAAAAAGCACATTTTACGAATAAAATAGCAGTAACATATATTTATTGAGGTCGAAAGGAGATTTAAACTACTCGATGAAAAATTATACAAAGCTGAGATGACATCATTGTGGCGGTATAAAATTAAATTACATCGATTTAATTATCAATGGCATGAAGTACGATCTAGAGTGTACAATCACGTTGGAATTCTAATCAACTATTCTATGATCAAGATGGTCATTGAAATTCTCTCATAAAAATTATATGAAATCGTGATAAAAGTATTGCAAAGAATATGAAAATGAATGGAAAGTGAAAAAAAAAAGAAAAAATGGAGATGGAAGAAGAGCCGTTATTGACTGATATTAGAAGAAGAGCTAGAAGATTTTCGAAACATTGGTCGTATTGCAAAGAATATGAAAATGAATGGAAAGTGAAAAAAAAAAGAAAAAATGGAGATGGAAGAAGAGCCGTTATTGACTGATATTAGAAGAAGAGCTAGAAGATTTTCGAAACATTTATATATAT